AAAAAAAAAATCTTCCTTTTATTATTTAGTTTCTTTAGGTAATTGAATTCTTTAAATAAAAATTTTCTCTAGAGAATTTAAATAAAGTCCAATGTGAGGAGACCCATAGAAATCCACATAAGAAATAACATACAAAACGTCATTAAAATGTCAAATTTGATTAAAGAATAAGTAACAGAACGGACCAAGAAAACAAGAACAAAATCCTGGACTATTTCCTCACATGTCCAATGAAAAAAGCAATTCACCATTTCCTTACAATCAATGCCCGACTACCAAATCCCAGCAACCCAATGGAGCAAATTGCATACTAATACTAAACCAGATAAGTCGAGACACCTTGGCTATACCTACTAATCCTCACCATTTTCATTGTCCATGCCCTGTTTGGCGACTGCCATCAGTTCATCGAAATTTGCAGACTTGCCAAGTACTATCTCAATCTGCGTGATAGAAAATAAAAAAAATCAACATTACACAACACTAGTGCCTCAAATTGTTAATCTTGTGGAATAACTTATGCATATAGGCGGATGTCAATAGAAATTTTATGCATCAGATAGTTGGATCTCCTTCAAAGACAAAGCCAAGACTCGGTACAAAAAAAGTTAATTTAAAAATGTCAATGTATGGAACTATTATCCGATCCTCAACACAATCCCCAACTACAATGACAAAATGTGTTTTGAGTACGAAAATTGGACATTACCTTGGCTTTTTGGACAGATCTTCCTCTTGACTCATCCCTTATCTCCACGGTGGATGTTGTTATCTCTACATATTTCATATTGAGAAATACTTAGTATACTTGATTGATTTAATGTCAGGAGTATGAGCTATGTGCTGTAACCATATGGTGATCAACTAAGAGATTAAAAGATGTGGGCAACCAAAACCATTCCAGCAAAACAATAATGTACTAAAGTGATACTCGCCGTAATTCTTTCTTCTAGCATAAAATCATCTGAATTGACGGATAAGAATGAATGATTACTGAACAGAACAAAACTATTTCAAATCAGCTCAGGCAAATAAGCCTATCAGATTTATGGTTAGGGTCGGTATAACCCATTTATATAGAAGAAAGATTCTACGCATTCTGTGACTTCTCTATTTAAAGTGATGAACAGTGCAGATAAAATGGTTCAATAACTCACTCTTTTCAACAGCAAAGCCACTGTTCTTCAGAATTTCAGCAATTGATACGACAGTTGAAATAGCTGCAGTAACATAAGCAAAAGTAGGAAATCAGGAAATGAATAAATGATCACTACAGACAGAATGCATTGCAGGAACACATAAAAATGCAGGTTGTTCGGCTGTTAAAACTTAAAATATGTTCCCTGTTACCTCCAATCATCGCATGAAATTAACAGAGATCTCTTTTCTATTACACATAGTCATTGGTTGGCAACTAACCAACTATTTACAAAAAAGCTCCAAGAAAATTGGCGTGAAGTAGCAAATGCCACAGTTTTATGTATGTACATGAAACAATTCAGACAAATAGGGGCAAACAACAAGACAATCAGAATTTTCAAGCCCTCCAACAGCTAACACCACATTATCCATGTTACCCCCTTGACTCAAACATTAAAACAATCTAAGCGAGGACCCGCTTCGTCTGGAGAGAGAGCTCATTCATTCATCAAGCTTACGAAACTCAAATGGCCTAAAAAAGAAACACAATCTGCAAATCTACCCACCATTAACTCAAGTTCGTTAATTAATCAGAATATCTCATCTAATGTAAACAAAATGGACACATATCCCTGAGGAAGAAGCAGCACACAATAAATAATTCAGAGTCAGTAACAACAAAATTACCCATGCCAAGCGCAGAAAGCTCGACCTCATTGTTGTCTTGCATGTACTTCTGCACACACAACAACTAAAATCAATAAAAATGTCAAAAATACGAAACTGAAAAATCTAGAAACACTAACACCTTTGTGAGATTCACGTAAAAGAAAAGCGGCTTCTTGGTATTGGAGACTTGAATACGGTTTTTCTTCTGGGGCTCCGCAATGTTCATCTTGTTCATCCCGTCAGTAATTTTCTCCATTTACGAAACGAAGTTGTTGGCGGACTCTGGTTGAATAGTTATTGTGTGGTCGATAGAAGGGTTTTATTAGAGCTAGGGTTTTAACTTGAAAATTGGGGATTGAGATTTGAGCCCTTTATATACAGTTTGCGGAAGCGGGTAACCGACTTTGTTCCGGGTACGGAAAGGGTGTTGTAGGGCATTTGCCCGTCGTTACATAAGAATTACTACGAATCCCGTGCGATGCACAGGTAAGAGATGTTCATTACATTAATATTTATAAATTAAGATTTTCAATGTTATCTGAAATTTAAATTGTGCAAATTCACATTAAACATTTTTATTTAAAATTAGTACACAACCCGACAACGAAGTGCAGCTTGAGTGGTAAGACGTTTCACCTATGACCTATATAGGTCATGGGTTCGAGTAACTGAGTAGAAGAACATGGACCACTATTCATCCTCCTTAAGATGAAAAAAAATAGTACACAACCACTACGGTGTATGTAATTGATAATAAAATACATTATATTAATTTCATAATAAGTGTCATTTTTAAATTTTTATTCAGAAATTCGATTTAACTACAATTTGATTCCATAAAATAATTATTTTAGTAAAATTTTATCATATATTTAAAAATTTATATTTATATGAATAATAAGTATAATTCACATTGGCTAACAAAATTGAATCTTTTACCCATAAAACGTAACTACAAATTCTTAATTATCCATGTAAGAGATGGATGAAATTTGACAAAATGTAATCATGCGGCATGAAATCACACTGTAGCTATAAATATTGAATCTTTTACAATGAGTTATAACTAATTCCACAAATTAAGAGAAACATTTAATGCTTTCCCATTTTATTGAAAAAAATATTCAAAAACTTACCAAAATTGGTAAGTATTTAATGCTAACAAACTTTGACTAAGAATTTGACTTTCTATTTTTAAAAAAAAAATGTTAATTTTTTTTATATAAGTATCGATTCCAAAATTGACGCCATGTAAATTTAAATATTATATAAAATTGTTTTTTTTTATATGTAACATATATGCTAATTCAAATCAATGATTCTAATAAATTTGTTAAGAAAAAGAATACTCGATAAATGAGAATTCCAAAATCGGCTACATATAATTATTTACATAATCTTTGCCTACAAAACCACTATCAACGTATTTAAAGGAAATAAAGAATTGACTAAAACAAACACAAATCGAAAGCCGAGTTATATGAAAATTATGCAACTAATGATTTATTTTTATTTATATCATATTATAATATTTCCATCTATAGTATGTAATTAATGTTTTGGGCGGAAAATGCTTATAAAATGTTTGAGTCGGAAAAAATCATGTGTTATTAAAAACCTAATTGTAAACAATATTATTAGTTTGATTATTGAGCAACTCATTCTTATCAAAAATTAATATTGTCAACCATTTTGTATTTGTATCACGAGAAATTGCAATATATAAGTGATTGTAACTAAAAACATGTTATTTCAAGAATATGCAAACGTGCGATAAAGACTGACACTCACCCTTGTTTATCGTCGTGACAATATAAATGAATGTTTATCTAAAAAATTTAATCTTTTATAAATGTAGTAATTGTGTGTTATTTTTTAATTTCGTGATTGATTGACTTTTTTATTAATTACCGATTTGATTCAATATATAACAAATATTGTTGTCAATCGTTTAGTTAATTTGTGTAAATACATAAATAAAAAGAGGCCTAAACTATGAAAAAAAAATTCATCTTTTGAAAGCAAATAAATGATAAACATTATCTTTTAAAATAAATAAAGCAAATAAATGATAAACATTATCTTTTAAAATAAACTAGTTTTTAACCCGTGCATTTGCGCGGAAAGCAATATAATAGAACAAAAAAATAATAAAAAGATATAAACAATAGTAAAAATCATAATATAATCATTGGAAAAATATTCTAAAAAAGAATAACTAAATATTGTTAAACAATTCTTTATATAACGTTTGTGGTTTTTTCTATCAACAGAATCTCTCACTATAAATCACTATCTTCAAATTAAGACATATAATAGTTTTATTTTTTTAAATAATTATTGTATTTTGTACTATAGATCATATAGGAAATTTAAAAAAAAAATACTAAAAAAATACCAGCAAAATATTACAAAATAAATAATTGTATTTGGTTGATAAATAATGATATGTGCCAAATATTTAAGACATTTGAACAAAATGAAAATTTTTGGGCCATAAAGAAATATATTGATTGAATGATAAAAAAAGTGCAAATTAGAAGTCCACTTAATTTTTTAGGGTAACCAAAATCAAATATAAAACATGTCAATGATAACATGACTATAAATAGAGATAAACTCCTTGAGTGATGTAAGCCAATTTTTTTGTTTGATGTCGGCGCTTCTTTCGTAAATTCACTATATGTCTGAAACCCTAATCCTTAACCCGATCTTACGACAAACTCGGCGAGATTGAATACAAAACAAATGGTTTACCGAAAATTTTCTCCCAGTAAAGGCTTAAAAAAAATCCGAGAAATGTTGTTTTTGTGGCCAACAGTAGTGATCGAAAAATAAATATTCGTCCGGATTTCTTAATATGTGTTACTAAATCTTAACAGGTCGGTCAAAATCTGGCGATAATATTACAAATCTATGAAGAGCTGAAATATTTTTTGTTAAACATAGTTTTTATTTTTGTATAATTTTCAATGATCTGTGTCGTTTTTCAAAATTCTTTTTAAATAAGCTTCAAAGATATATCATATTTTATACATAATTCGAAATTATTTAGATGTTTTTCGAAATCGTTTTTCAAAGAGAACATGACATTGGTCGAACATTTTCAAACTTTTATGTATTTTGTTCGGGGTTTGAAAAATAGGTAAGTGTCTAACATATCTGTTCAGCTCTACTAACAAATATATAGGTAAGTTTATAACATATCTGTTTATAACATACATATGTAACTTTTACATATTTTGTTCAGATTTTGAACACTAAACAGTTCAATTCTTTCTCGTCTTTCTCATCATATTAGTAAGTGAAGCTTTGCTAACACTTGTTCAAAATCGCTTTTCGAAGTTGTTCAAAGTCTTTTGCCGAAGTTTTTCAATGTTTTTAGTATTTTGTTCAAAATTTGGAAATATTAGGTAAGTTTATAACAATCTGTTTAGATATATTTATCACATATTAGGAATTTCTTGTTTAATGTTTAAAAGAATCTGTAGGAATTTTTATTTTTAAAACTTTTACGCAAAAAATTGATTTTAATATAAAGGCAGATGTCTTGGTAAAAGTTGAATGTGTTGATAATGATAGGGAAATCAAATTATTTTTCTTTCTATATTGTATAGTGTCCAATAATGTTCTACATAATTTGTTGTGTTTTTAATTTTGATTTTTTTCATATAGATTTGACTTTTTTTGTTGATTGTTAATTATGCTTGATATTTCTATATTATATAACAATTTGCCATTACAGACAATGCCATTACATACAATGCCTTGTCAATCCTCATTCTTTGACTTTGCCAATTTCCGTTTAATATGACCTTTCTGTTGCTGAAAGTATGGTTTTAATGCATTAAAATATTGATGTTTTGAATATGTTTTGATGCTATAATCATGCAGAAATTTGTCCTGCCACTTTTTTCTTAAAGAAGAATTATTTGATGAAAATTAATCATATTTATATTTATAATTGTGAAATAATATTATTTTCACGACAAACAATTTTTTTAATGAAAAATATGAAACAATTTATTCAGCACACTTTTTAGTTTATAAAACAGAATGTTGATTACTATAATCAAATCTGCAGACATCATGCATTTTATTGAATAGTAGTAATATAAAATATTTTATTATTACTACCAAATGGAAAGTCAAAGATAGTTAATTTTGCACTATTAATTATGATCATATGAATTTTTTTTATACATATGTTTTTTCAATGAACTTTTTTAAATGATAATATTGACCATATAGACTTTGCTATAATAATTATATAGTCGGTTAATTTAATTATTTACTTCATTAATTATTTTTTAATTCATCTTATTATACGTATAGTCTAAATTTATAAATTATATGTCATCTAAATGTATTTGTACTACTAAATTATAAGGTTTTACCATTTGGGGGAGCTAAATTTTTATTTTAATTATGAAACTAATCTTTCTTATCATTTTGCAACTATACGTTTGATGGAGTATGGCTGAAAATTAAATTACCAAAAAAAAATAATTTCATTTTTTATATTGTAATGTAACATGATCTGTATTATAATGTTTGTATTTATTACATTTATTAATATTTTTTATAACTTTAATTGCTTATTCAATTCATAATGGAATAAAAAATAATAATATATAGTTTCTGCACAACAATAATGATTGTCACATTTATATATATAAATAAGAAAAAAAACATAAATGTGGGATTAACTAAAAGAAACTTTTTTAATTTAGCCATTAATTAATTAGGTTTAACAAAAAAAAAACTTTCTTAAATGTGGAATTAGTGAGTAATTAATTAAAAATGTAACTTCTTTTGGAGGGAAAGTGAAAATGTTTTTATTAAATGTTTTATTAAATGGGATTAGCTAGTAATTATATATATATATAGATAATGACAATGATTATAACATTGTTATCAAAACCGATAAGGTATATACAATTCGTTTTTCCTTTTCAAAGCGATAATGTAGAAAAAAATTCAAATGATGAATAGATGATATATACAGACCAAGATCTAGAAGCCTGTTCAAAATTTTCTTTGCATGAATCCGACGCATAAATCATTCAGTCTATTATTATATTATTAAATTATTTGAAACATGTATACGCCCGATATTTGATTTCACAAAAAAGGGAAATTGAATCATCAACTATTAAATCAGTTATTCCATATCAATTGACAATTAATGCGCCAAGATATGCTATCCCGAATTGTCAAGGAATACTAAAATTAGGTAATAATTAATGATGACGG